AATTATATCTATCGAATCTGCTATCTACTATTTGCTATCCACTTTCCGTTATCCACCATTTGCTACTCATTAACCACTACCCACTACCCGTTATAGTTATGTGTTATCTGTTACCCGCTATCCGTTATCCATTGAATTTTAATAGTTGTACTAAATAGGCCTGTGCATTAACATGCACATTTTTTGAGACTGAAATTTCATAAGAAAATTTAATTTTGATCCAAAAGGATTCAATTAAATCCACCTCCCTATCATATAATCATTCATGGAAATCATTTTGAACACTTGAGAAAACAAAGGGATTAAATACTAATTGTTTTTATATGCTGAATTTTCCCTCTATATATAAACTTTACTCATTTCAAATGGTTGAATCCTCAACTTATGACGATTCTTAACTACCATATTAGTAGTGTCTTTGATTTTAAAATATTTTATAAACTTTTAAAACTTTATGGACAAAATTACATTAAACAAAATCATTAAGGGGTTAGATAAACAAAATTTCCCTTTAATCTTCTCCAATAACAATCAGGTATGTTTCACAACATAAAACTAGATTTTGGTTGAATTGTGAACTGCCCAGTTTATACCACCAAACCACTGAACCATTCCTTAGTCTCCACAAATCTTTTCAATTGATCTCCACATATGTCATCACAACCAAAATCAATGGACTCAATTCAATAAAATTAAGATTTGACCTTAGATAAAATCTGATTAAGGTAAATTTATTTAGCTTTTAGACATTAATCAAACCAAAGCTTTAAACATCAATTTTGACTCGCGTATTGATCTAACAAGTGCTCTCAATCAAGTGAACACTTAAGACCATAGTCACCTAAACTGGTAAAATTTTTAACAATAATCATAAACTGATTGTTTAAAAAAAAAAAAAAAACTTTAGAATTGGAGGACATTGTTTTAATTTTAAGTAAAATTAAGTCACACTCCATAAATTTATAATAATAACATTAACACAACCAATGTTTTTGACTCTCAAAACAAAGTTAATTTTAAATTTAATCCAATTAAATATAACTAATCACCATATTAAAAACTGGATTATGATTCTAATCCAGTAAGCACTAATACAATTTGAAAACAATTACGACACATTATATGAGTGATTAATCTCATAAAAACTTTCAAGTGATCATGAATAAAAATTTTATAGAATTTTCAATCATTCTTTAAAGGCTAATTGTCCAGGCAGTAATAACGATATCTTGCACCTGAACCAAACATGCCACTGAAAGACTTGACTGAGACAAAGATGAGCTGTCAAGAACCTAGAGGACGTAGATTGAGTCGACGGCTCTAGAAAATACATGAATTGATAGCATGGTCGTTCCGATCACGTACGCGTTTATGGGGAAATACTATGAATTCATCCTATTATTCATAATTCACCGAATTTTGGAAATTTTCTATATTTATTAATCAAACACCACCAAATTATGAAATCATAGCACATGTTTTTTTGACTCGTCAAATACATAACTAAATATTATACAATAAAAAAAATTTAAACCTTAAATTTACATATGACCTGTTTTAATATTATATGTTAAAATTTTTAAAAATGAATATATGTTAGATTTAGAATATTAAAATTAAATAAAATAAATAAATTATGTATTTAAATCTTCATAATCAATATATTATTTAAAAATTTACAAAAGATCTTTAAAAATAATTATAATTTGAAATCTCATAAAAAAACCTATAAAACAAATACATTCCACTCCCTTGAGGGTACTCTTGTTGAAATGACCAATTAGACCCTTTCAATTTTTTCTTTTACGTTCCAATTTATTACAACTTACATTTATAGATAGGAGTGTTTGTTTTAATTTTTAATAAATAATTAGTAATTATT